GCGTCTGTTCTGTGCAGTGAGCGGCAGAGAAGCACCGCAGCCGACTCGTCAATAAATGAGTACAAAACAGCGTTTCCTAGCACCTGTCGCTTACTGATTGTTTGGAATTATAAATATGAGCGTAGTTCGTCTGTTAATATCACATGCACTTTTTTTGTTTGTTGTTTTTTTTTAGTCACTCAGACGCAGGCAGTGTGCTGCATGAGACAAAAAAGTAATATAGCCAAAACAACCGCATAGCCGCTCTTTAGTGTAGATGCATGTTGATTTTATCAGACGATTATAAATGAGAGTGACTCCTGGTTAACATGTATTAAAAGGGGTCATGTTTAGTCACTATTTAGTGTGGTATTTTTTGACAATATTCACTCATCATGACAGTAAAATAAGTCAATATACTGCAGTATTTCCTCTCTCAATCAGTAGAAAATATGGTTAACACCCGGTCATGCATGGAAAAAAAAAATACCGTCTTGTACCGTGAAACCGGTATAATTTTGAAAAATACCGTCATATAAATTTTTGGTCATACCGCCCAGCACTAGCTCACACTACGCTCTCTTTTTTTTGAGCTGAGCTGATAAAAGGTCCGCGGTTTCAAAAGAGAAGCGCTATTTCGTTTCGCTTTTGCCACGTTTGGCGTTTAAAGCTACCACTTGTTTATGTTGAAAATGTAAACGCCCCCAAAATAACACAAAAACAACCAGACCTACTGCAAGATCTCTTGCAGAGACAACCTGGATGCCTTCCCAGATATGATATCACATTATCAAAAAACAAGCTTGAGTTTTCCAAGTACCCCCTCCTGAGAACTTGGCCGGCACCGTGCGGCATAACTGTTCAGCCACACGCAATTTCATAAACAAGTGGGCGAGATTAAAATGTGTACCTTGACGCATGGCAGAATATGAGTCATGATGATGGTCTCCCTGCTGTCTTCAGGCAAATTTTCACAGAATACTGCAGAGATAAACAGGCCATGGGATAAGGGTGTTGTTGTGTGGCTCTTCATAGAGACATCAGACTTTGGGAAGCTGGCAGTGGGACACCTCACCTTTCACGTTGTTGGCAGCAGCAGTCCGGACCTCTGCCTCGCAATCTTTCAACAAGTTCTGGAACGCCGGGACCAGATCGGTCTTGGTGATCTCTGGGCCAACTGCTTTTTGCAACTTTACACAAACAGAAAAACAACCAGAGTTGTTTCAGAGTCTCAGAGGCGACGTGGATAACGGCCAAATATGCGTTTCATAAGTACCCACTTCTGAGAATTTGTCTGCCACCATGTAGCGCACCCTCCAGGACTTGTCCTCGGCGGCCTGAAGTAAAGTGGGCATGACCAGAGCCTCCAAGTCTTCCTGTGGCAGCAGAGTAGCAATGCTGACGCCAGCTTCTACCGCCAAGAGACGCACAGAGTCCTGCAGAGAAAAGGAAATGCCTGGATCAATGACATAAGAGCACTAGAGGTCTGCTACCCGACCCGAGCCCGACAGGTCCCGAAATACTTTCGGGTTGGGTTCGGGTTAAAGTTTAATGAATAGCTTCGGGTTGGGCTCGGGTTTATAGCTAAACTAAAACTATATGCAGTAGGCTACACTACTTAGACGCACGCACACTCATTAGTGCACACGACAGCACGGAAACTTTTATTAGTAAAATAGCTTCGAAAGGCTACTGACTCGCAACTTTATATTTCTCTGCAATGAGGGGGTAAAATCGCTGTTTTTGAAGTAACTAAGCCTCATTGCTTGTAGAGAGTAGGGATGCACCCGATATCCCGATACTGAGCTCTTGTACTCGTACTCGTTAAAATGCCCCGATACCAAACGCCGATACCACACAGCATGTGATAAGTGCCATATTCAGACAATGAAACACAGACAACAGAACAACAGACAGCAGAATGGAGTTATTAGAGATTAAGGATGTCTACGAAGTATATGTATGCAATGAATATAATGTTAAACATTCAGTATTAACGC